ACAATAAATGTCTGTTGCAGCTCATAGCAGCAGGTGACAGACCATTTCAATAGCAGTTGCTAGCCGAATGGTTCCACTTAGACCGTGTGTGGAGGAACAATTCTGCCCATGGGGAAACGTTGGCCGACACACAGGATCGGTCCTTGCTCTTTGGTGGAATGATTGAAAAACCGCCAGAAATCCCCAAGTATTTTACGAAAATAATCACCAATCCCTATATACAGTACTTTGGCGATCTTTCAAAACTATTCTTCTGCCTCAAGATGACCTTGACCAAGACTGCTACTGACCCTGGTGCCGAAGCTGAGCATGTCCCTTCCGGGCTGCCAAATCCTGAAGCAGATGTTCACCACCCGACCGGATGGTTGTACTGGAGACTGATCATGTACAGTAAGAAAGCTACCCATTTTAATGTTCTCAAAGATTTATTGGTAGCTCTCGAGAGATTCTAACTACAGCATGTCAATTAGTGATTATCGTGGGATTATCACTAGGCCTCTACGGTTACGATAATGCCTTCGCAGCGCCCTTGGTGCAACTACCGTTGTTCATTGAGAAATACCAAGGCCCAGGCCTTACACTAACTGTGAGAAGCTCTTTGGCCAATTGAAATTGTACTTACTCGGTTCACAGGCTCGAAATCTCGACCTTCTTGTTACTGTGCCTTTGGTCGGGGCAGCGTTCGGGACCTTTGCTGCTGCTCCAATCATGGAACGATTCGGTCGAAAGGTAGCATTGATTGCTGCATATTCCTTACTCTGTGTACCGGGTTCATTCCTACAGCTATTTGCACCGAATCTAGCCGCAATGATTTGCGGTCGACTTTGGAATTGTAAGTCATGGCTATTAGATAAGTCTTTGTGTATTCGCATAGCGGCTAACAACACAACGTAGACATCGGCATTAGCATCCTCACTACAACCACTCCTCTATACTTAGCAGAATTTGTCCCAGCTCATGTCCGTGGCAGAGCCATTGGCTTCTGCGTTGCAGGCATAGCTGCGGTAGGGGTTCTTTCAACCGTCATTGTTTGGGCTTGCGAAAAGATCAACGACAAACGCCAGTACAGTAAGCAACTTCTAGAGCTCCCCTTAAACTATCACGTCACTTTCCGCATTCTAGAGACATAGATACCAGCAAAGACTGAACCTCTGGTCTCGCAACTTGTATATGCAGGCCTTCATTTTCCCTTTTGTTATTTTTAGTAAGGCAGTCACTGACACTAAATGTTGTAGTGATACCTTTGGCCGTTCAAGCAGCATGTCCAGTTGTTCTTGGTTTGCTCACACTTCTGGTCCCAGAGTCTCCGGCTTGGTATGTCAAGCTTGGTAAAGAAGATGCCGCACGTAATGTGTTGATGTCGTTACGGAATAACGAGGCCCATATCGTCGACGCGGAGTTACGCATGTTCCAACAAGCATTGACTACGGAAGCGGAAAGAACGCATAACATACACTTTTGGCATATTCTCAACCGAGAAAACCTGGAACGCACCCTTACAGCAGGCGCTTTACTAAGCACCGCTCAAGTTGGCGGCCAGATCCTGGTCGGAACGTACTCTACAGTCATTTTAGTACAGAGTGGAGTAGGCAACCCTTTTCAGATTACTATCATCATAACGTGTCTCCAGTTTCTCGGAACAATTGTTGGCCCACCACTTGTAGACAGAGTAGGTCGAAGACCTGTGGCACTTGTAGGGTTTACAATTCTTCTGTTTTTAAACTTGGCTGCTGGCTCTTTGGCTGCTGCAGGCCTCACCACTGAACGTCAGCGACTAGCTTTGGCCTCGGTGTTTATAGTATTTGCCTTCTTTAACGCCGTCTCTTTTCAGTCACTGTAAGTCATAGCACCACTCGATTCGTTGACTACTTCCAAGTCCTAGAGGCTAATATACACATTCAACAGTTCCCTAGTCCTTCCTACAGAAATTGCTGGACCTTCTCTGCGCGGACCTACAATGTCATGGTCCGTTTTCTGGTCTTATGTGACAGCTGTTATCACCACCTTCGCGGTACCTCAGCTCATGAACGCCGACGCGGCAAATCTTGGCGCAAAGACAGCTTTCATCTTTGCCGGATGTATCTTCGTCACGTTGATATGGGCGTACTTTTATATCCCAGAGACACGAGCGCGAACAGTAGCTGAGATTCAGGAAATGTATCAGATAGGGTTGCCGAAGAGAAAATGGCGGGACTACACATGCAATGTTGAACAGCAAAGCTCGGAAAGCCCTAAGCTCTCTGCATGATAACGTCAACCCAAGTAAGCATAGGCAATGTAGCTTTAGAAGGAAAAAAACAAGACATTCATAATAGCAGATATCAGCACAATATATAAAAGAATCTGGCCGTAAAGGATTTCAAGTGCGTAAGTGTGCTAGTTCTGCTGTAGGTCTGATCTGTGCAGTGGATGTGCAGTGGGCATGTTCGATTGGAAGCTAGGGTTATTTTGCGAAGACATTCAATCACCTTTGGTTTCGCTCCTTCTCAAGAGAGGATATGAACTCTAGAACACGATATTCCCATACGTCATTGCTCTTGTGGAGAACTACCCAAGGCATGTTATTTACTTGAGTTACTATGTTATTGTTGTAGATATTTACTGCAGGTAAGGAAGGCGCGACTATTAGCCCCAGTGCCGCTTGTCTATCATCCAAAGTGGCCTACATTCAAATTCGTTTTATTACCACTCATGACGCGATCCAGGCTATTCTAAACAGCCGTTTCAAGTCCTAAATTTTAAGCAGTTCAGAATGGTAGAAGTCATTAATATCAAGCCAAAACCGGCTGATAAAAGCCGTCAAATGAAAAGAGACTCGAGCCTTTCCAAGCTGTTATTCACACTGCATAGGACAGCTCTCACTCAGAATGATACCTTCCTGTTCTGGATTAGTGAACAGTGGACATGTCCTGAAGAGGTCGATTTCGCTTTGACAGGCCGCTCTAGCCCACAAGGATGCCTACCTGAACCCCACACTTATCAGACCATGATCATAGCTCTTCTTTTCATTTAGACTCCACCAATACTTACTACGCTTCAACCTGTCTAGTTTGGTTGAAAGAGTCCTTCATGTAAGATCAATGGAGCCTTCCGGTGTTCGCAAGGAGCTCTAACTTTGTAGTCCACGATGGCCGAGGGAGATCAAGCCCACCCAGGCTCCTCGGCTGCCGGAACTGAGCCATTTCCACCTGCTACCTCTACTATCCTTCCACCCCACCACTGGGCTGAAGTCGCACAGGTTCGTGAAGTTGAAAGTGCTCACGAGAATTAGAAAGCTTGTTACAATGAAGCGACATCATGGTTTCTAATCTCAAGTTAAGGCAGAGGACCGGGGCAATCCAGATGCTGATTCGACACTCTCCGACAATGCGTCCTCAACGATGTCGGTCACCTCCGGCATACGTGAGTATAGGACAATACACGGCAGAACCTACAACAGTGAGCAGGGCGATGCGCAGTATTGGTAGAAACCCCGTATCTTACTTATGTTTCAGCTGGACATCGCTCATGTTATTTTCAAGGGGATCTAACGACGAAACACAGCTTGAGTTGATGGACGTCACGTAAATTGGCCAACATCCCAATGTCAGAGAGCGTAAGAATCTGATCTCAACTGCAGCCACCACATTCTTACCCTTGGGCTTGGAAACAAACTCCATCTGGCGCCGTTGGAGAAAACTAGGATTCATGTAAGCTAGCTTCCCGAAATTTTACCCCGCCTGGGTCGGTGCTGACGCCTAAGATAGCAAGTCATCGATATTGGGTGTGGAACTGGTAGGGTTTCTTCAGTCCTATACAAAAAATGCTGTCCTAGGCACAGGGCTAATGTTTCCGGCTGACAGGTATCTGGGCAATGTACGCTGAGCAAAGCCCCCAAAAACCAACACTTCTTTCTAATAATTGTGGTGATTAGTGACTTTGCCGATGACTTTCCTGACGTACAGATCATCGGAACAGACATTTCTCCTATCCAGCCTTCCTGGGTGCCGCCGAATCTGAGATTGTGAGTTTTCTCTGAACATAGACAACGCTTCGGCGGTTTTTGAGCAGTCTAAGAATGGATTCCAGTGAAATCGAAGACTGCACTCGAGAGTGGACCTTCAAATCTGACTTCGCCGATTACATCCACTTGAGATGGCTGGTCGGCAGCATCAAAAATGGGAATGTCCTCTTCTCTGAGGCTTTCAGGGTTTGCAAACCCGGTGGATGGGTGGAAAGCCATGAGGCCTCCTCCATCATCAAGAGTGACGACAGTACAGTCGATGGGAATTCAGCTATGGGGCAGTGGGGAAAGTTCTTCATCGAAGGCAGCAAAAGGATAGGATCAAGCTTTACGGTGGTCGAGGACGGTACGCAGAGGAAGGCTTTAGAACAAGCTGGTTTTATCAACCTCCAGGAATTTGACTTCAAGGTGAAGTATAGTGGTATCTCAATTTCGAACTGTAACTGACAAAGGAGCTAGAATCCTATCGGTGACTGGTCGACAGACCCAATCGAGAAACAAATGGGTCCGTATACTAAATTTGGGCTCGAGACAGATAGCGAAGGGTTTGTCTTGTTCATGGCTCATACTTTGGGCTGGTCAAGGGACGAGATCCAAGTCTATATCGCACAATTTAGACGGGAGCTACGTTCAGGGAACCATCATGGTTACTTCAGGCAGAAAGTTGTTTGGGGCCAAAAGCCTGATTCGGTCCCTAAATAAAATCTTTCAGCGTGCCGGGCCTAGGCGTCTAAGAATAAGGCGACTGCCAAAATCAAAATATAAAAGGGCAAGGCTTCCCTCAACGAGTAGTAGGCCATGGCTGACAAATACCCCGTCATTCTAAGTGAAGTAAATATATTGATACTGTGCCGACCGTAAGTGACAAAAATACGAGTCTTATATACAGAATGAATGTCCACTGATGTTAACAATGCTTTGGGGCACAAAGGACAACAACATATCTCCACTTCTGTGATATTTCTTAGCCCGTGCAAAAAGAGAGGCATCCAATTTACTACGCAGCGACATCCACAATGGTCTCAATGCGGCAACCGGTCTCCGTATATGTGCCCTGCAGCACCTCAATGAGCCACGCTCTCGCGCGAGGGTTACCTGCTGTTGACTCGTCGCCATGGCCGCCGACTTCATTGCGTTGATAAAATATGTCAACTGCTGGTAGCTCGCAATACCGGTCGATTAGCTTGTCTGTATCAGCAACAGCACTTAGTTCGTCGTGGACAGCCTTGTAAGCAAATACGGGCATTTGCGGTACACCATGGTAGCCCATTGTATTATCACTGGTGATGATTTTGTTGATGATGGGAGTCTCCAGATCAGCGAAACCATTGACAAAGTAATCGCTAATTCGCTCAAATGCAAAGGTGACGAGTGTCGATGTTGACTGTGCAAGTCCCATGAAGGTTGTCACATTATAAGGACCTGCTTTGTTGAGCACGCTGATAAGATAATCTCTTGCGTCAGGATATTGGGAAGTTACACCAATTAGCCAGCTTGGTGTGAGGCTAGCATAGAGAGTACCCTCGACCAGGTCTCGAATAGTTGAAATATTAGGTGTCAAGCCACCAATGGCGACGCCCGCAAATTGAAGTTCGGGTGCATACTGGACTTGTAGTTCAGCCGCAAATTCGCTAGCTACAGCGCCACCCGAATAACCCCAGAGGGCGTATCGCCAAGGCGGGCTGTTGGCGCTGCGCTTCCTCACGGTAGGAGAGGAAAGACCGAAGAACTCGGCGGCGCAGGCATCCGAAAGCACAGCACGAATACCGTCAAGCACAGCATGGCCTGACATGACTCCGGCGCTAAATGAGGCTAACGGACCTTCATAGTCCCCCGTTATAACATACCAACCACGGCTGAGTCCCCAAGAGATGTCTTCCACTGGCATACCAGCGTACATGGCGTACGAAGGGCTCAAATTTAGGTCAACCGCATCGTAGGGATACTGGTATGATAGGAGAGTTGGGTTTGAGGAGGTATTAGTGCCATTGTTGTAACTCGGAATGAATAGCGTTGTGATGGCATAGGTCGGCTTGTACTGGCTATCGGTGGTACGGTACATGATGTTGTAAGCTGCAGCGCTGCCGGTCACTACGCCTGTCAGGTTGCCCGGCGCCTGACGGACGCGTAAAATGGTACCTGGGGTGGTGTCTGCGAGATTCTCCGGCGTGGTGATATACCACGCATCCTCTTTGGGTGGACTTGGGTTCGCCTCATGGTGACTTGATATAGGACATGCGGCACTACACTTTTGACGCAGGCTCTTGGGAGAATCGATCCTAGAGTTGATCGAAGTCGTTTGGACGGAATTGACGATTACACCTAACACGAGGGCTAGGCGAACAAGAGGAGCCATGTTGGATTATTCTGTTTGGCTGAACTATCGAATCCTGTTGAAATACTGTGGGAAATGTTTTAAAGATCTATCAGTCACTGCATAGAGATTGTTGAGGGCAAAAATGAATGGCAGTGTTGGCTGTGTCGTCTCTTTGTACCGTGAAGAACGAGACTCAGGATCGCAGTAGCGAGATTTCATTGCGCTGTGGCAGGCATAGCTAATTCAGCTACTTCCCCTTGCTTTGTTCTTTAATTACGCATTTGTGGACATAATTGGGGCTGGAATTTGAAACCTCAAAGCAAGAGTTTCGTGACGACTGCCTTGTCGAAAACCAATCCCCTAGTTTGGTACTAGAAGGAGCCCGGCCCACGACGCTAACAAGCCCAAGCACCTCGTAACGGAGTCAATCTCGCACCGAATGAGCCGGAGCTGTTGGAAGGCCGCATCAGTATTAAAAGACACAGTCAATCCACTTGTATGCCGAGGTTTATTATTCTTAAGCGGGGTTAACTCAGGTCATCTGCATGAAGATTCATCTCATTTTGGTAATGGATAGTTTGAAATCGGTAGCCCACCGTTAGCGCAGGTCCGACTTGGCTCAACCTCTTTGGGGTATTTCCAAATCGGGTTATGCTCCATCAAGCACCCTTCCAACTGTCTCATGATATCACCTACGCTATCTTGGTCTAGAATCGGTAGTCATGATTGAATACACATTCTTGCTAGGATTCTGTGGGGTAATAACTGGAGTAGAGTGATTCTGGGGTCTATTAACAACTGCAGTCCAAGTCTTATATCATCACTGGGAAATTGACTTTGTTACACACTGGTTGTATGCGGCGCAATGGAATGTTACCTTTCTGAGTCTAATTAGGTCTTTCTTGGTGTCAACGCATACTATGAAACTGTATTTCCGCACCGCCGTGACAACCTTGGTGGTTGCTCACGCTCCGAAGCTTGCAATCGCGATCACTGTTCTTGATCTTTCAGAGCAGAAATGGCTGCTCGAGAACCCTTTGATGAATATCTCAGTGCCTGGCAAAATTCCTTCTTATGTGCACTTGGACCTTGACGCCTCGCAGGTCATTGGCGATCCGTATGTAATCCATTTTTAACAGTCATTGAAATTTAGGTACTCGCAATTGTGGCCGCTAAATTTTTGGATTTTATCATTTAGATATTATGGGCTCAATGATTTTAACCTGCGATGGGTGGCTTGGGCTAATTGGACGTATACAACTAAGGTTTCCGACTTGTGAGTTCAATTTCTTTTTCATGATCATTATTTCCGCATTTGGTAACAGCAACTGGGGAATCAAAGGCAGGCATTGGGGTCTTGGGGTGGTACAGTGAATACCTCGACGTGGCTTCTCTTTGATGGCCTCGATACTTTTGCCGACGTCTTTTTTTGCGATGAGTATGTTTCCAGTACCGAAAACCAGTTCCGTCAATATCATTTCGATATCTCAGAAATTATCACAAAATGTAACTCCACAACAACCCCTGAGTTACGCGTGGACTTCACTAGTGCCGTGGCTATGGCCGAATATCTGAGCTCTCTGCCCGACCAAGAGACTTGGCCGTGGTACGTTGAGGGTCGCCATGAGTTCACTCATCGTATGTATATTCGCAAGGAACAGTCTGATTTTGGCTGGGATTGGGGACCAGGCTTCGCACCCACAGGCATTTGGCAGAACGCCTGGATCTTACAACTAAACAATACACACGCCTCCGAAGTTGCACTTAGAAACTCCGCGTTTGACATTTACCGTGAAGGCCAGCTGAATAACCTCCCTCCGGATCAAAGCGCAGATTGGATTCTCAATGCTAGCATCTACTCTCTCAACACAATTCCCGATGGCACCACCATGACCTACCAAATTTCTAGGGGGTGCCAGGTTATCAGTAGCGGAAGCCTTATTAGCCTCACGAATAGTGGCGATGCCGTTACCGGTTTGGCAGTTCTAAAATCTGCAGATTATGAGCTCTGGTGGCCTGTTGGAATGGGCCAGCAGACTTTATATAACATTACCGTTGAGCTGGTGTCTCCAACAATGCAGAAGCTAGCAACTATTACTAAGAGAGCTGGGTTTCGAACAATTGTCCTGAATATGGAAGCAATCTCTGATGAAGACGTGAAACGAGGCATTGCGCCAGGCAATAATTGTACGCTTTTCTTTCTATCTACTCACTGTGAGCTATTACAATAAAGGCACTCTCGGCTAAACCATCCTAGGGCATTTTGAAATCAATGGCCACGAGTTCTATGCCAAGGGCAGTAACCTAATCCCACCTGACGCCTTCTGGCCCCGTGTCACTAGGAGCCGTGTCAAGCAGCTTTTTGACGCTGCTATTCGTGGCAACCAGAATATGCTACGCGTGTGGGCTAGTGGCGTATACGCGCCTGACTTCTTATATGAACTTGCCGATGAGATGGGTCTCTTACTTTGGTCTGAGTTTCAATTTGGCGATGCTCTTTATCCTGTCGCGCCGGACTTTCTCGAGAACGTGTGGCAAGAGGCCGTTTATCAGGTCCGCCGTATAAATCACCACCCTTCTCTTGCACTATGGGCAGGTGGCAATGAGATCGAGAAGTTTTCGCTTCTTGTTGTCGAGATTACGGCACCTGACGAGATGGATCGCTACGTGGCTGAGTACGAGAAGATTTTCCTTCACACGCTATTACCCGCAGTGTACAGTAATAGCAGAAGTATAGCCTATATTGCGAGCAGCACAACTAATGGCTACCTAAGCCTCAATCACTCAGACTCGGAAACTCCGATGATACAACGGTATAACAATTTGACAATAGGTTCCATCTATGGCGATACAGATTATTGGTCGTATGAATTTGATCAAGCTTTCAATATATCAACATATCCCATTGGCAGATTTGCCAATGAATTCGGTTATCATTCACTGCCAAGTCTAGAGTCTTGGCGAGAGGTTGTGCCTGAGACAGAACTATACCTTGAGTCGCGGACTGTCATGCTGCGTAATCACCACTGGCCGGTCGGTGGTCTCAATACGAGCAACTATGACAATAGTAGCAAAGGAATGGCGGAGATAACTGGTGCTGCAGCCATGTACTATCCAGCTGTCGGTAAGACAGACTCCATTGCCAACTTTTCGGCATGGTGCCATGTTAGCCAGATCTTCCAGGCCGACTTCTACAAAAATCAAATTCAATATTACCGTGTCGGATCAGGCAAGCCTGAACGTCAACTAGGGTCTCTATATTGGCAACTTGAGGACATTTGGCAGGCACCTACATGGGCAGGTATTGAGTACGATGGCCGATGGAAAGCACTGCACAACGTAGCCAAGGATATCTACGAATCGGTAATCATTGCACCGATATATAATGTCTCATCCGGCCTCCTTCAGGTTTATGCTGTCAGCGACCTTTGGTCTCCTGTCAGTGGGCACGCAGTCTTGGAATGGGTTGACTGGTATGGTAACCGGATGGACGAGCCAGCCAGGACCACGGTCAACTTCACAATCGGCCCACTGAATACCACCATTTTGAGTACTGTTGATATTACAGATCTAGTGTCATCTCAAAGTGTCGATCCTGCCAAGGCGCTCTTCGTGGCCACTCTCACCGCGACCGGCAGACCGATAAATGCGGCTGCGCAAGCCACAAAGACATACACCCACTCTAGCTTTTTTACTCCAGTACCGCTCTCCAAGGCTGAACTTGTCGATCCTGGTATTTCTGTTTCGTATGATGAGGTTGCAGATGAGTTTGTGGTTACTGCATCAACAGGAACGAGCATGTGGACTTGGCTCAGCTTGCCACCTGCCGACGAGGGTACCATTGTAGCGTTCGATGACAACGCGTTCTTACTAATTAAAGGCGAGATAAAGAGAATTAAGTACACTGTCTTGCGTCAAGGTCGCGCCAACTGGCAGGAGCGAGTTCTAATTGAAAGCATTTGGAATAATACGTTAATAGACTAGGATAGTAACCTTAAGCTCTCGTTATTAGTAATCTTTACCCGATTCTATATAAAAGCCTGGCGTTCTCATAAATGGTTAATCAAAAGCTGACACCGCAGAGAGCTTAGTCGGTCTTTGAACGTCAAAGGTTTCCGCAAAAGAAACATGTGTGACTGGGGTGCTGAACCAGACAAATAGAGGAGGAGAGTTAACGGCTGTCATCCAATGTACCTTTAAAAGGAAAGTCTTTTTGCCTCCCAATTCAAGGACAAAGAGTTCTTTTTCTAAAAAAATGAGTGGAAGGAACTCTTAAATATCATATTGGACCCTTTCGAAGTATTGAGATCAACATATTTTCCTTGCGAAAGTGTTGACGCTTATTGCGAGTCAAAAGAAATGCACGACGTGATAGGAAGCTTCGAAACTATACTATTTTGCGGCACAGCGATTTACCTTTCAGTCAACATTACGATAGCCTATCTTGTGTTGCCAATGGCTTTAATGTTCGTAGTATAGCTATAATATAGGTCTCAAATTGGTTGCAACGACTAGATGACGAACTTTCTTAGCCATTCCAAAGCAATGGATGTATCCGAGCCCACCGGCCCTATAAGCATGTATGATGTTAAGCTTTCTCGATACGTATGCCTCCTTTTCTAGCCGGCCGAAACTCGACAATATCCTTGGTTACATCGCGCTTAAGGTCAACCCAAGAGAAGGCATTCTTGAAATTGCGTTGACACCGCGAAGTATGTCCTTCCTGAGACCTAAATTAAGCTCCTTAGATGTGTTATTAGGTTAGCTCACTCCTCCTAGTATGACCCCTCCATCCAGCGGGCGTGGAATGATATATGTATATTCCGAACCCTGGAGAAGAGATGCTTCTGTCAATTGGTCACATTTGACGAACATGGTCTGGCCGCGAACTGCAGTCACCGTGTTGTCCACTGCTAGGTCTTTAGCACCAAGTCCGGAAACGTTCACGAAGATGGTTGCACCGGTTAGGGGACCAAGCTCTTGTATCGAGTCTAGTGTCCTACAAATAAAAGTCACTGTTCGCTGCTTCAGTTCAGCTTGAGCCCAAGGGAGAAATTAGATTAGATTGGCAACAAAGCCATCGTACGTAAAGCCTATTTTCGAGCCTGAACGCAGTTTCGATTTATCTATAATGCGAAAGTTAGACACTACAGACTTGTACCATATTGTAATATCTCGGGTCGATTATCATAGTTTTCAGTGATTTTGACCTGCTAAATGCGTTGAGCTACACACCATACAAGGGGCATTTTGCACTAACCTTGATTCCTTTTGTCGGTGGTATCTCGAGTAATTTCCTGAAAGCTTTCAACGTCTCCTCTTGAAGAGCTGGCAGGCCGTAGTCGGTATGGGGTGCAGCTTGCAAGGAGTGCTCCGGTCCTAGAGGTCGCACAGCATGGTCAGCAGAAGTCTCGATGAGCACGTTGCTCAATCAATTGACCATGGGCTGGCCCATTTAGTCTTTTCGTCCCCCGGCAAATTTCGAGCGACTACCGTGACATCGTAATCAATTTCTAATAAAAGAAGGGCACAACAAAGGCCCACAATCCCAGCGCCGACAATACATACCTTAAGCCCTCGGGTGTTGTTGCAGCTAGGCTCCATCTTTCGTAGCCGCAATTACATTGAGAGCGAGCCAAGCTCATGGCTTCTTTTTTTTCCTACGTAAGACAAGAGGAGTGGTTGGCGATCAACGGGAATAAAATAACGCAGCCGAATGCAACATTTAGCATACAGGTCTGCTATCGCCATAGTATCAGGTTTACGGAGCCTTCATCCGAGATGTCGCCTATCTCCTTAGACACCGCCGACCTCCGATACGCTGACTCCTAGCCTTGTCCCGCCCCTTGCGTCGGAAGGCCCACCCGATACCAACCAGCGCGCCATTCAATTCATCAATGACCGGTCGTCCAAAATGACTACAGAAAAGGGCGACTTTGTTCCAGTGAAAGCCAAAATTCCGAAGTGATTGGCACCACCATGTCCCCCACGTCATCAATTCTACTCCAAGGCCCCGCCAGGATCGGACAAGCCTACGCGCTACGGCGCAGACAATTAAAGTACGTGTAGCAATAAGCTGTGAGCCATGAGCCGTCATGAGCCGTAGAGCTCTGCCGCCCTTCAGTTCGACGAAGGTTACCCGCTGACACCCAGTGAAAGTATTCCGAAGCTGAGTCCTTCGTTATCACAGATGTCTCGGAGCAAGACAAGGGGCTCGCAGTTTGGATTCCTGGATCAGCACCCTAATTTCAAGAAAGCGGAGAGCTCACGACCAGATTTCAACCACAATCTGCATCCTACAGCCGTCACTAAATCGCCTAATCCAGACTGGAGATTTGGCTCTGGCGTGAAGAATGGAGTCGACACTGAAATGGAGAAGAGCTTTGTGGATATTGATCCGTATGCCGAGGGGAGGCCCATGATGGCAAATTACCGTCTCCTAGTGTCCGGAGTCGTTCCTCGTCCAATTGGGTTTTTAAGCACAGTGTCTGGTGATGGGAAGTCAGAGAACCTCTCCCCTTTTAGCTACTTCCAGGTTATCGATCACGACCCACCTACCTTTATAATAGGGTTTTCGAGCCGACCTGGTCGACCCAAAGATACTTACAAAAATCTGTTAGAGACGGGCGAGTGTACAATCAACATTGTATCGGAAAACATGATAGAAGCAGTGAGCGCAACGTCGGTCGATGCTCCGTATGGAGTATCCGAGTGGGAGATATCAGGCCTGCAACGCGCACCTACGAAGACAGTCAAGCCCGCACGGGTGAAAGAATCCATATTCTCGGTCGAAGGCAAATTAATCGATACCATAGAGTTCGGAAGTCATGTGAAAGATGGTTTCAGTGCTCCATCGGTAGCCTTGATCAAAGCCACGAGGTTTTGGGTCCGGGCCGATGCAATCGACAAAGAGCTGAACAACATCGATCTAAACATCCTCCGCCCAATTGCGCAGCTAGGAGGCATCTCTTACGGAAGGGTCTCGGAGGTATTTGAATTGCCAAGGAAGACATGGAAGGAAGCAGTTCAAGAGGCTCCTTGGCTGGAAGAGCTCCCGAACGCAAAGCCATAGCATAAATCACAACGTCCATTGAGTCGCAATATCTTCAGGTCCTGGATTATATTCTTTTTTTAACGGCCACATTTGTACTTGAAAGGGATAGCAATATAGGATCACAGAGTCGGCTAGGTTCATCTTAAAAAGAGATGTAACTAACTTCTTGTTTTTCATGAATCATACCCATGCTCCCTTCCCGCCTTGATGCTCTATTTGTCCATGATGTGACTTGTTTAAGAAAGCATTGATTGTGTTTTTTCGGTGAATATGACGAGTTTCCAGCCTTTTAGAAACTACCCACTATGGAATGGCCAGATAGTCGCTTTTTCAATGTCCCATGCGCCGCCTACGGTGTAAACATGGCTCCGAAGGAGCTCTCTAACCTCGCCCTCATCCTTGGCTTTAACAAGCATTACACTACCATTCATGCTAGAGCTGCACCATCGGCGCGATGTTCTGCAAGGGTGATGCCGAAGAATGGCAGGCGACCATTATTGATCAGAGTCTGAACAGATTTGATATGCGCAGGCCGAGCGGCTATGCGTTTCGCAAGGCTGTTGGAGAAGTCAGGAATATGCACAAGATACTCGCGCAAGGGACCTGAGCTGCTAGCCATATTTCTTCTGGTCCTTATGGCCAAGGAACTGAGAAGCACAGTGGCCAATGTTTGGTGGTGGGTGAAATAGCGAGGAAGGCATCCGTCCAGTCTGACCATTGCAAAGGCGTTTCGAGTTCTGGGCCGCATGGTGGGCAATGCTGTGTCCCAAGTCACCGAGATAAATTAGTCTTGTCTTAGTCGTGATGCGACTTTATGGCAAACTTATAAGTCAAGTACCGGGTCAGCTCCCGATACTACGCCTGATGCGCCTGGATGATTAGTACTGACTGGTCGATAACCCGCGCAACGCTTGACACTGTGCATATACATTTATAAGCCTTTATTAACCAGAGGTCCCTATCGCAATGGGGCATTTAGTCAGAGCTTGGCTTCATGATTCGGTCGGAACAGGGCACCGATACCAGAGACCTATGATCGGCCTCTCTGATTGGGTGGCGTGCCTCTAAGGAGATAAGGCGAAGTGAGATCTGATTGATAAGTCTGGAGACTTGGGTGGTTCTAGAGCGGTGATAACTACGGAGGCCTATAGGTACGACTGGCTCTTTTCAATTTTTCCCACTTAACACTATCTACAAGCCACATACCCTCCGAGTAGGCCAGATCGCTCTAGTAGCTAGACAGTATGACTTAGACGTTAATTATAGTATTATTCTTCCCTTATTGTCCTTATTGTCCGGTCTACCGTGTCTTCCAGATCCAGCCTCGGGCAGACCACGTGTCGTCTTCAGCCTTTGTTCCCTCGGAAGTTATAGTATGGGATTTTACCTTTCTTGTTGTACTTAACCTCCGGCGAGTCCTGACGTGTCGTAAGAGAGCGCCAGGAGCACGAGTAGTTATCTCGAAACTATGTATCTAGCATTTGCCTTCAATCCAATCAGGATCTATAACTTGACTTGACTCTATATTTCATCAGTATTTCATCAGTGTAAAATAAGATGACTAAGAGTAGTGTGAGACGAAATACTATATAGCTAGGGAGCAAGGCGATTTAGAATTCATCGAAAGTAATGCATGGGAACCCAGCAGACGAGCGAGCCTAAGTCACAAGAGCAGGCCAAGAATGGCAGTGACCACTCCAGAGATCCTGTATATTGTCTTTTGTGTCTCGTCGGGCGGAACTACTTGAATGTAGCGTTAAAATAAGCTGGGACCTGTGGAGGCATCTCGCGATACGCCTCTAATCTACCTTCCACGATCAGGTCTTGCAGAGTCGCTTTTGCGTAGTCTTTCACCTCCCACACGTCTCCTCCGATCATATCTGCCTGCTGTCCTGTTCCCCAAATCTTGCGACAGTACCAGGCTAACGCGAAGGGACTTGAAGCACGCAGACAAGATTCAATCTCTGCGTCAACTTGTTCCAGGCTCTGTTTGATTGTCAACGGCGCTGTCCCGTGCTTTTTCTCTAATGCAGAAGCTATCTCGTTTCCAGTGGGCCTTAGTTCTGTGATTCCTATCGTCCGATTCTGTAACTCGGATATAGGCGTGCTAGCGAAAAGTGATGCATATGCCGCCCCAACGTACTGCCTTGTGCTGTCCGATAAGATATATTAGTGTTGACTCTCTAAGTCAAGCAGGAGATCCAGGCTTGATAGCAAGGTACGCGGTGGCTCACTTCCAGAGAAGATACACTACAGAAGAAAAGGGCCCTTGGTTTAAAGGACGTGAGGCAAATTACATACCATAAGTTCAACATTTTGTCCCTGCTGTCTCCTGTAAAGAGAACTCGGTTGCCAGCATAATCAACTCCCATGGCCCTATAATTTGACAATCTTGATTAGTACCCCTTACTCGATATTTATCGGGAAACAAAAATTTACAATGTATTCAGTGCGAACTCGGCAAAATTGCCTGGAAGAACCACCGTTGTCGGAATGTTTGCCCTTTTAGCCGCTCTCTCTACCTCGTCCTTAGACTCGTTTACAGGGATTCGAAGGCCCTGCTCGTCATAACGAGCAGCAAGATCAGATGGCACAAAAAGCTTGACATTCGCATGTGGGATCGCCTTGACTAGATTGTGCTGCCTCTTCACGCCTTCGTGTCCGACGAGAGCTCTGCTCAAGATATCGTAAGCATCAGCTGTGCCAAAACTATTTTAGCAAAAGAGTCAGGCTTACATGACGATATCAATATCGTGCAGAGCAGCGACCAACGCGCTTTGGTCTTCTACATCTACCTCTATCTGAGTAATGTTAGAAGGTAGATGCAACACATCTGAGCCAGCGCGATAGAACACTTTGATTGGTGCGCCGGAGCGCCGCAAGGGAATCAACAATCGCGGAACTGGCCCAGCCACGATGGCCGTAGACGGCAATTCGGTTGTATGGCATGGTATGGAATAGTCGAATATGGAAACTCTGCGGCTCGGTGTGAAAAGATGCGCCAACAGTACGAGCTCTAGAATTCCTCCTCGCACAAGTGTTTGTTTTATTTGGGACTAAAACTCCCCGAAGTACTTGGTTTATAGCTTTATTAAAGACATTATAAAGGCATTATAAAGTGATTGGTCATCGGATAGTGGGGTGCTCTGTATTGATTAGCGTAATGAGGCCTGTGCTAGTCCGTCCCCACGCGTCAACGAAGTCGCCTATGGTTAGAACATTTGATTTGTGATAAGACGAAGTGCCGACATCTCTTAAAGGCCTTTGATAGCATCATGATATTTGATAGTACAATGACGAGGCAGAAATAGCTGCTTGGATCTCAAAATAACGCTTTGTTGCACATTCTTGCAAAAGATGTTCGCTTCGACTTTTTTTCCACCAGACACTTCAATACGAGTGTCTTCCAAGTAGATAGATCCAGATTCAGATGAGACCTATTCGTCAACATAGTACGCCCAATATCAGGATCTACTATTGAAGGTGCAATACGTGGACCAAGCCATTTAAGGAAATTATTTTGATCAAACTAAACTTAGCAAAGAGATTCCATGAAAGGTTTTGCCTGCATGCCATCTGCTGTGAGCGTATGATGGCTGAAAGACAGCTCTTGCTCTAGGTCTCGGATCATGAGTAGACTATTCTGGCGTAAAGTCCACCTGTGATCAACATTTTGCCACTCGTCATGTAGGCACTGGCGTTGGAGAGGAGGAAGACAGAGGGGGCTTTGAGATCTGTCAGGTTGCCCATTCGTTTCATAGCAGGTTCGTTCTTAAATATCTCGTCTAGTGTAGGCCTCATCTTGGCCAGGTCGATCTTTATGTCTGTCTCAATATATCTAATGTTCTCATCAGTACTAGCTGAACCCACGTTTCAATATTTTGTTTCGCTATCTGACCTACCTAGGAGAAATAGAAACTCAGTCTAATCTACTGATCAGCAAACTTGACACTGAGTTACTTACAGGGAGAGAGCACGTCCCCTGTGCTCATACAATAATCGCTCGTATATTGGCCTCTACTTGCTAGATGTGCACTAACGGATGCTATCATGACAATAGATCCTGCACCGACAATTTCTTCTCTTCTAGGCTGATTTGCCATTTGTCGAGCTGCAAGTTGGAGAGAATAGTACGTGCCTAGATTATTGATCTCAAGGCACCTTTTCACCACTTAGCTACCCCCCGCGGGATTCTTCTACCCCCCGCCATCTGTAACCTCCGCATGCGCTTGGCTTGGCTAGATATTGGATATACTGCGGTACAGCAATGCATCAAGGTGCCGCCGTTTGGTAGCAGTGAGGGATCTTTAAGAACATATGCTACTTTGATTTCATAAAGAAAACTGGTTCAATGATTCCCAGGTTTAGGAATTAAGTTCATGTCACCAATAGTAGAGAGTGTGGCGGGGATGAATGGTCAGTCACCATGAGAAAGGCATAGTGCCCAAGCGCAAGCTGTCTGAGGTTTTGAGCTGTGCATCCCTTTCTTGACCATTGAAACTTAGAAAGGCCGAGAAGAGTTATTGTTGCAAAATTCAAGTAAGTTTTACTTCTCTAGCTTTGACCTAAGAATGGTAGGCGTCATTTGATAGCTTGCCAGTAGCGCATATTTCTGATGTTGAGACCTGATTCTCATGAACTTCGCCGCAGAAGATAACGTTGCCAATCCACGTCACTTTTTCATATTTGCCATACCCGGGAGTTCTTTGAGCCCTGCTACATGTCAGTGTCGAGATCTATAGCGTGGAATTTCCAGTCAGACTCACATCCATCGGTTTCCTCGCTGACCATGTTCTTGACGGAGCATTGGTTGGCCGTAGACATAGGCTGCTTAGTGATGGACCCACAGCCGTCATAGAAGCACTCGGACTTGTCCATGGCGCGCTGAAGTGCATCGCCCTTCCAACCGAACATGTAATCAGCATGAGTTCCAGCAGCCGTACCCTCGAAACTCCAGACGAAGGGGTTGGGGGCACCAGAAGGCCACATGCTGTTGAACTTGGACGTATCCCAGGTGGTCTCGTACGTCACTTGTGGCATGCGCACGGGGTGAGATGATGGACATGCAGGGGCAGCAACAAAGCCGTCTGAAGTGATGGTATTGTACATATGAGACTGGTGGTCAGGGCTGCGTCGCGATTGAGTCAGTACCTCAACTATAAGAATGGGATCAGTTATGATCATTGTTATAAATAACAAAGCACCTAACCGAACCAAGTCCAAATAAAAGTCAACTCACCTGTCAAGATTCTTGCCATCCCAACAACTAAAACTTGTCAACTGATGGTCTCATGGAATGTAAAGAAACACTACTAACGCAGGGAAATGGTGTGTCGTGAAGATACCACCAGAGCAAGCCTTTGGAGGAAAGTCTTTCAACTCCGGACCTCTGTTACCGCCTTGCAGGCATTGGTAACGCAGGCCAATGTGTTGGTTAGAAGCGGTTGCTGGGTTGCCAACTGTCATGCGGAAACCCTAAAAGAAGTTAGAATCTTAGAGAGTCTTGTAGCTAAGGTTAGGCGTACTGGCTGGAAAGACTTGACAGAATTTGCCTTCAAATTATCGGTAGTCAAGTCGTGTTGAGTATAGTAGACGGTGAGTCCACCTTGTGCACCATTTGAACCTCCCAAAAGGGGTTGAACTGGCAAGACTGGCACACGATGATAGGAGCCGTTGGTGGGGTGCTTGAAGTAAAGAACGGCAGTCCAATAGTTAGAAAAGTCCTCCGACATCTGGCAAGTTGTGCAGGTAGCCCTTGCACCGACATCTCCACTCATACTGGCGTTGAAAGCATTTCCACCGACGATATGGTGAACATGAGTGGACGGCACCTGCCCAGGTTGAACCACAGGGTCAAGGCGTTGAAAGGTCAGCGTTGAGCATGGAAAGCGAAGGCCTGCCTGTACAGGCGGGATAAGTGCGATAGCCGCAGAAAGCAACTTCATCTTGGCAGCGGAGCTGATAACAACAAGAACGACGAGGCTTACAAGAATAAGCGAGACGCGATGGAAATCTCACATCTGCTTGCTTGGCTCTTATAAATGTGGATCTGTCTTGCACTGCCTATATCGCTACCTCTAAGCTTTCCATCTACCGAGTGCAAGTAGATGAGTGAACTTTATTCCTCTAATATCAAACGCAAAAGATCGCCCTTGGGAGTGCAACCTCCCGCTGAATGAGTGGTATTCACCTTCCTCAGAGGTTCCTGATGGGGAGCCTATCCCCCGGTTTTCCAGTTTCGAGATACTGCATCCCAGACGGGTGACCTATCAAGATGCCGTTGTCACAGTAGACCTTAATTTCAGCACAAATTGCAATGTGCTTCTCAATCCTAACAGGCCTTAAAAGACAGCCTAAGAAACGTCACACTCTAACAACTGCCTTTCATGGGTTCAGTATGGGAAGCTTTACAGTATATCACGTGGTTCTATTGCTTGCGGGGTTAGTTAAACCAACGTGATATAGCATTCGGGATGTCATTAGCAACTATAGATGGGTACAAGAGCATGGTGATCCAGCACATTAGCCGGCCAGTGTGGACAATGATAGGTCTAAAATCACACACGCAATCAATTTGAGCCTGTTTTAAATGAGCTCTTTCGCTTTGATCGGCAATGATGAACGTTTGCTGCCCGAAAGGTGCAATTGCAGCAGAGTAGGGATCAAGGATTTGCCATCACTCTTTTGTAGAGAGAGCGGGACAGGAAAAAACGTGTTGTTGACCTCCCGCCATTGTCATCTGCCACTACCAGCACGTAACGAGTGCATTGCACTTTGATGTTTGCCTCACGTGTACGAAGACTCGCAGGGCGGGATGATTACTGGTGATGAAGTAGACCATTGACAATGCTACCTCGTCGAGTTCGACGCAAGGCGTGGCGACTCCTAAAGGCTTCATAATTTGAGACATTAACAAGGTCACTGCAAGAGGATTAGATGATTCCATGTTTATGGTCGAAAAGTAAAGTAGCTGCCAAACTCAGGTGTGAAAGTTTCGATGGCCCTCATTAACATGATCAAGACACCGCCCAGCTCAGTTCTATAGCCATCTCAGAGAGGAATAACAAAATTCATTTATCAAAATGAAATCAACTTTGAAAAGAGTCGAGTTTCGTCCAGGGGCAGTGGCATGTCAGATTAAAATTTGATGGACAAAAAGGTGTTTGACCCTCATCTTTTGCTTGTGCTGAGGACACCCATCTTGACACAATGTCACTCTGATCACATGACTACAGATAATCAACCAAAATTCTGAGCGTCTTTTGAAAAGTTTCAAAATTTTCGTACGGACAGAGAGTACAAATCCTGTTCATTTGGAGTCTCGCTCGTTATCACTACAGTCAGTCAATATGCGGTGTCCTAAGTACAATCATCCTCTTTCATTGTGTGCCCTTTCAGTATGACCTCATCTGTTCGAAATTCTTTGATATTTCCTCAGAGCCAAAGTACCGAAGTGTAAGCGGATCGATATCTGATCATGTGGGTCGGCCAGTAATTTTGCCGCTTTGGTACGACATGACATCAATCTGCTTTACACGGCGACAACACCTCAGCGTATAGAACATACATTCGATGATAACAAAATTTATTTCCAAAGACAGACCCAATTGCGTATCCTAAAGCGTACAAATTCTTAGCCGTACTCTACATTTCTCGTCGTCATTACGCCGATGCCGGGGAATGCCTGGAGGAGCGGATCATCGGCTGATTTTTCTACCGATGGTCTCCATTTCTCTGCATTACCGGTTTGCACCCGAAGACATATCAATTCCATCATTCCTGTATCTATCGACGGCTGGATAGAAATCGATTAGAGTTCATCAAAAGCTTTAAAAAAAACATGACGGTCAAGACGTTGAGAATCGCGGTTGTGCCCGGTGATGGTATCGGCACCGAGGTGATGCCATACGGTGTCCGGTGCCTGGAAGCAGTCGCCAAAGTTTACAACATCCCCATTGAATTTGAGTCTTTCGATTTCGCTAGCTGCGATTACTACCAGAAACATGGCGACATGTTACCGCAAGACTGGAAAGAAACTCTTGCCCAATTTGACGCCATCTATTTCGGCGCAGTCGGGATGCCGGATCTGATACCAGATGATGTGACTCTCTGGGGGAGTCTCATCAAGTTCAGAAGGGAGTTCGATCAGTACATCAATCTTAGGCCTTGCCGCCTAATGCCCGGCATCCCATGCCCACTGGCGGGGCGGAAGCCGGGCGACATTGACTTCTGGATCGTGCGGGAGAACACCGAAGGCGAATACAGCAGCATTGGCGGAAAAATCTTCGAAGGGACCGATCGAGAGACTGTTATCCAAGAAACAGTCATGACCAGGACGGGCATTGATCGTGTCCTCCGCTACGCCTTTGAGTTGGCCCGGAGCCGGCCCCGCAAGCGGTTGACAAGTGCGACTAAGAGCAATGGAATCAGCATCACAATGCCGTACTGGGATTCGCGTGTGCGCGAAATGGCAACGCAGTATCCTGACATCGACCTTGACAAATATCACATCGACATATTGACGGCTCACTTTGTTCAGCGACCCGACATCTTCGACGTCATTGTTGGCAGCAATCTCTTCGGAGACATCCTGTCCGACCTGGGCCCGGCGTGCACTGGTACAATCGGTATCGCGCCGTCCGCTAATATCAATCCCGAGGGTAAATTCCCCAGTTTGTTCGAACCTGTGCACGGCAGTGCGCCGGACATTGCTGGCAAGGGGGTCGCAAATCCGATTGGCATGATCTGGGCTGGTCAGATGCTGCTTCAGCACTTTGGATACACAAAAGCCGCAGATGCGCTGCTCGGTGCCATCGAAAGTGTCCTGGCGCGATCAGAGGTCACTGTTGTCACACCTGACATTGGCGGAAAGGGTACCACACAGTCGCTGGGAGAGGCAATTGAGAGCGAAATCCTCGCCGTGTCAAAGAAACAACAGAATGGAAGCGCGCATTGATTTTATCGATCATCTTGAATATAGATTATTTTTACTGGTCCGCAACATACCATTGTAATTGACCGACTTTTGTCCATGCTGTCGACTCCGTAGTAGACTTCATAGTAAAGTGCCATGATTACATATAGCAATATCAGTTGCCTAGCTTTCCTGGTAGGGTTGCCTAGATTTGGGGTAAACACTGTGCTGTGCCACTGAACATGTGCGGGGGGAGAAATGCCCAGAACGCGGCGCATTCGCCGCCTACCGATCATCCTACAAAGAAGCGCATCAACACTATCGCTTCAATCTCTCAAGAGGGTTGCTCTATTATTGGAAAAAGACTCGAAGAATATGACCGACTCACAAGCAGACAATGAAGACGACATATTGTTCCTGCAACTATATAGTCATCGCGGACAAGGAGGCTTTTGCGTCGAACAAGCTGCGACTCATCTTCTTCGACTGCGCGAGGAACATAGTCAGACATGGTCGCATTCCCGTTGAGGATGCTTGTATGGTGAGCGCCTATCAGATGCAAGGGCGAATCCTGGAGCAGTATTGGACAGATGATCGAGGCACATACTGCAAGCTCGGGGAGAAGTATTTGCCTGAGGGTGAGTTTGGAAATTTTCTGTATACTTTAAATGATTCAGGTTTGACGGAAGAGTTGTGGAGGGTGATGGGTTGGGGCAGGGAGTCAGATGAGAATTAGCGTTCTGGGCACAAATGTCCACTGAGATCCACAGAGATCCACAGGTCCTCAACGGAACACGTCGATATGATAAATGTTATCACTAATGATATCTCCGCAATGCAGGTATTGTAAGACACCCGCCTTGTCGACTCTGTATCTTGATATCGGGATACGACAGTAGTGGGTCGCAAACTCTAGATTGGTCTGTCCCCTTGTGGTTTACCAGTTTAGCAATCCAAGTGGGGGGCTGCTCCAGGATGGTGTCGATATCTTCTCGGCCTCCTTTTCTCATTGCTAATTCTCCTCCAAATGTTGACATCCTGCCAAATAGGGTGACACCATTCATCCTGTCATTGTCTAATTCCGTTGCAGGAGAGTGCAAGTTCGGAAGCCGATGAGTAATCCTCCCTTAGGCACATATTCGCAGTCGATGCTGATTTAGAGCAACTGTTTCTTTGCCCCAAAATTCGCACTTTTTCATATCAATATAGTTTTCTAAGATTTCGAAGCCTTAGCTGGATTTCATAGGTTCTCTTGCTAACTCTCTATACGCAAAATGAAAAAAGAATCAGTTAGTATGCCGCGTGTCCTCAAAGTGGCAGCAGCCCAGATGGGCCCAAACCATCTTGCCACAAAGCATGCTGATGTGGTGAGTCGCATGGTGGTACTGCTTAGATCAGCGGCAAAGCTGGGTGCACAACTCGTTGTATTTCCCGAGACTGCTCTCACCACATTCTTCCCTCGTTATAGGTTGGATAGTATTCCCAACGCGGATGGATACTTCGACAATCCGGACACCTTGCAAACTTCGCCAAATACACGGCCTCTTTTCGATGAGGCCAAGAAGCTCGGCGTGGACGTGTATCTCGGGTTTGCAGAGAGAACGTCCGAAGGTCGCGACTACAACACGTGCGTGTACTTCTCTGCAAGTCGGGGTGAAGTGATCGCCAAGTATCGAAAAGTTCATCTACCTGGTACCCTACAGCCGTTTGAGGATCCCAATGCCATCAATCAGCTCGAGAAGCTATGGTTCAAGCCTGGAGACTTAGGATTTCAAGCTTTTCGCGTGCCAGATCTGGTAGATGGGGTTGCTAAACAGGGGAGCGCGTCGGACTCGACTGATAGGGGAGATCCCATCATGGGAATGCTGATCTGTAACGACCGACGTTGGGCAGAAAGCTGGAGATGCTACGGTCTTCAAGGCGTCGAAGTTGTTCTTTGCGGCTATAACACTACTGCGTGGGCGCCGGACTTGTGCGGCATAAGGAAGCCCCAGACTTACGAAGAGTCGGAGACTGAGGCCATGTATCACCACAAGCTTGTCATGACAGCCAACTCGTACATGAATAGTTGTTTCTCTATCAGCGCGGCAAAGGCAGGTGTTGAAGATGGAAAGTTTGACCTCATACGTGGTAGCATGATAACTTCGCCGGAAGGTTATGTGATTGCAGAGGCAAAAACGAAGGACGATGAAATTGTCTTTGCGGCGATCGATCTTGATGATTGTCTTCCAGGCAAAGAAATGGTAAGCGATGGTAAGATTTGAACTTCTGTCATCATTTGCTAACACGAGTTTTCAGATGTTCAACTTTGCCAGACATCGTAGACCTGATCAGTATACGAGGATAATAACTCAGGCAGGGGTTACTGAGCCGGAGCTACTGTCATGATTGTAGCATAATTTGAGCATCGTATGCTTAGACCTGATCATTATATACATAGCAATGACGAAACAAAGATTTGTGTAGTCAACACCCCCATGACCTATAGTACTAGCATTCTCAGAAATTATACCGCATCCATCACTCAGAAGAATAGAACATGAGACCAGAGCTGGAGGATCCTGGCCATTCTCTCAATACCCTTTTTACCGTAAACATCGAATATAAATGCATGGCGATGAACTCGATGGGAAGAGAGGGCTCATTTGTGGAGGTGTTAAGCTAGGCCCCTTTAGTAAATTTTCAGTTCAGCCTGTGACGCTGATTGCGATATGATCCGGCTTCCACAGCGGGGAGTGCGGGTGAGTTCTTGGCGGATTAGGCAAAGGCGCAACTGGCCTACACAAATGTGTCAAAAGCGCGGCCAGGGTAGTCAGTACACCCATGCATCAAAAGTATAGAGAGGTACGTCAGGGTATACGGGGTGATAATATACAGCCAGCACAACTGTAAGTGGCTACACAACTGGAACCTAGCTTTCATGATATAGTTGAGTTAAGCTTAGATTAGCCCTCTTAGGTCTGCTTTAAGGTAGTCAACGTCTTAGTAAAGTCTTATCGTAAATTCAATAGTCAAAGTTTCGAGTCTTAAATAATAAAGGTCTAACTTTATAATAAGCTGAGCTATATAATAATTAGAGGGATATATTAAATCGCTAATTAAAGGTAAACCAGTTAGACGCTGACTTACCATAACCTACATAAGTAACAGCTATAACTAAAAATCCTAACACTATTATAATATTAAATTCTTTACTGGCTACACATTTGTGACTGTCATATATTTACAAGCACTATGATATTATGAGAACTTGAAGCTATAGTGTCTAAGGTGAAATATTGAATATCCAAGAGTGCTAATACTTTAAGAGAGGCAAAATACAAGTATGTTCACAATTATGCTAAATTTTATCTAAATTATATAAAGAGCTTTCGAGCCATCTCCTCCAATCCCATACAAATTTAATCATAATAGCATTCAAACCCCAGACTCAAATAAACAAGTTCCTTACAACTTAAATTACAAATAAGCAAACATTCGGTTCGATTACTATCTAGACATATCTCTAGGCCGAGCTATCAACGATGCCACCATATATGAAGAAGCGAGAAAATAGAGTGCCAAAGCGAAAATCAAAGTAAAGATTTGACTTAAGACGGGGGTTTTCATATAGTCAGAGAAGTCTGACACAATAGTTATATATATAAGTCTCAAAGCAAATCAGACGCTATAGAAGATAGTAGTAGCGTCATCCCTGAGCCTGGCGATATCTAGTCACCCAAAGGAAATCTTGCCAACTTGATCGAAGCAAGGGGAATCAGTTATCACCCTGATATACTATCTTCAGACAAGGGGGCTTTGCTTGGAATTGGAGACCAGTTTGTAGCAAAGTCCCAGAAATAGTCGTTGGAAAGCTTACATTTTCATGAAGTATCTGCTGAATATTTCCACCTCGCACACAATCAATACCTTATTTTCTACCAGAAATTGTATTCTACCGGAGACAATGAGGACGAAGAGGATCAATAGACGATCGAAAATATCTACGAGACTTATGGAATGAAGCCTGGGCTTGGGGATAGACCCTCCTACTCATCATCCAGCTAGTCAGCCTGGAAGGTTCTATCATCGGTGGCTTGTATGATGCGGTACCAGTTTGGTGCGCGCGCGCGACGAGAACTTTATAGTCTTATAAGTATAGCTTATACTGTTATGGCTATATGCTGTCAAACGAGTAATAAATTATTATTATGATTCTTGTTTTATGAATGCCTATCGTAGGGCTATGCTTGGTAGCTTAACTTTTAGCTGTGATATATATTATCATAGAGATTGACTATATTTATTTAGCAACTATTTCAGTCTACTAGTACTAGCTAACTATATATATATACTAACTATCTATAGACTTATATTACTTTAATAATATATATACTAATTATATGTTCGAATTATATACTGTAAAATCTTCTACGATCCGCCGACTACCTAGGTTATATTTAGCCTTAGGAGCTCTCAGTCTTGTTGCCTACACCTATAAGTAGATGCTGTTACAGTATCACATAACCACATATAGAAGGCTCTAATTATATAATCGAGAACTCCCCTGAATTGGAGGATAACTTTCCTCTTTTCTTCTCTGTTATATCTTATATCTAGAACAGAACTTAGCTTCAGCTATACATACATAAGGTCTCCGTCGATTCAGACGGAAAACCTCATAGCTACTTACCGTTTACCTAGGTCCCTTTAACACTACCTAACTAGGCACAATCGATGCTCCCCAAGGGTCTTTGGAAGAGGTCACCAACATCATCAACAAGCTGGTAATCACATTGTCCAGGCACAAAAGCGGCAGACTCTTCTTTCCGCCAAATTTTCATCATTTCCTCGCGGGCCTCAGCAAAGGACTGCTCGCTCCTGACATGATTGCTGTCATGACTGCCGCTGTCTACCGGACTGATGACGGCATCAAAGGCACGTAAAATCAAGCGCCCGACAGCGGCGACGTGGTCCACGCCCTCATAGCACGTGTCGTCGTATTCGAGACGCATTACAAGCGCGTCGTCACTTAGAGCCATGAACTCAATCATTAACTTGAACTTGGCGCCCTCACTCCAGACCAACTGCGGCTCTACTGTGCCGCCGTCCATCAAATCCAGTTGCCTCCAGGCCCCGCCCGCCGTCGGCCGCATATCGTGGTACGAGACGACGCAGTCGAAGAGTGGGTGGTCAGGCAGCACGTCTGTGCCGCTAATACCGAGGTGCTCGAGCAGTTTCCCCCAGGACATTGCGTTGGCGAGCGCCCGCTGCGACAGCGACTGCACTGCGGCGACATACTCGCTACGGGTGAGAGGCGCTCGGGGGAAGATGCCGTCCGTGTTTCTGTCGCCTGTGTGTGCATGTTGCTGAAATGCGATGCGCACCGGGAGTGGCTCAAGGAAGAGACCAACTGTGCGCATATCTGCCTCCGTTTGTCTGTTGAGGAAAGGTACCCCAAGTACTACATCTAGGGACTTGTTGCGTGAGCTTAGCGCCAAGGCTGTAGCGGCCAAGGCAAGCTGCTGTCCTGTTATGTGGTGGTCTTTCATATAAACAGCGATACGGTGCCATAATGAGGACATTATACGTGTCGTGAACGACTTCCCACGATAGCTTGACCGAGCAGACTTATTTCCAAGGTAGGCGGGTTGTGTGTGAGCAACGCCTTTAAGGTACTTCTCCCAAAAGGCCATGGAACAACTTGGTGTTATATTGTTCCACACCATTGTCTCATGATACTTTTGAACGATTGGTGGGAGTACTCCAGAGCAGTAAACTGTGCTTACTTCCTCCAGTAACAAGCTGAGTGTGGTATAGTCGCACACGATATGGCTCAAGACTGCCACAATTGTATCTCTGCAGATGAGCACTCGGACTGGCGGAGAAGAGTCGGGTGCAAAAGGGGTATTCAGCTCAGTCCATATGTCGATACGCTCCAGGTTTTGTACCCTTGGAGGCTGTAAGGTAAGGGTTCGCTCTAGCCCACGCTTGCGGTGATGAATATAGCGGCTGCGAAAGATTTTGTGGCGGAAGAGAACAGTGTTCCAAGCTGCTACAAGTTTCTGCCGATCAACAAGTCTCGAATCGTATTTGCATACGAAGCTCACATTGAATGAGGCAAGTCCATGTCCCCAAGTATATCTCTGCCACCAGTGCTGTTCTACTGGCGACAGACTATATACCTGTACCTTATCATATGTCTTTAATCGTATAGAGTCTGACTGCTGTAGCCGAAGACTGTCAATTTCTTGAGCCAGATCCCGAAGTGTTTCGAACTCCATGACTATTCGAAGGTTTATAGGGATATCAAATTCGTTCTTGAGTATAGCTACAAGATGTAACTGTCGTAATGAATGACCTCCTAGATCTGTAAAGGTTGAGCTAGGTTTGATCACGTCGGTACTGGTAGTGAGGCCTAAAATGCTCGCCCATATCACTGCGAGCCTCTTCTCTGTCGCAGTCTGTAGCTTATCTTCTGTCTCGAGACTTGTATCTCGAACTGTAGCTTCAATCACAGCTTTATAGTCAATTTTTCCTATCCCAGTCATTGGGAGCTTGTCCACCGGCACGATGTATCGGGGGACAGCATATACTGGAAGGGCCGCTACAATTCTAGGCCGAAGACGTGCCACATCTCGCTCGCTAGTCTGCATCATGCACACCAAATCAGTCTTGTCTTTACACGCCACAGCAACAGCCTGGACGTCGCTACAGCACTGCAGTATACGTGTCTCCAGGTCATCCAAATCCAGGCGGAAGCCCCGCAGTTTGACCAAGCGGTCGGCTCTGCCCAGGAAGACGATCTCACCATCTTGGTTCCAGTAGCCGTGGTCGCCAGTCCGGTACATGTACTCGCCTAGACCCTTGCAGATAGTGTCTGGGAAGAAGCACTTGCGCGTGAGTTCCGGCTGTCCTATGTACCCCCGTGCTACTTGCACGCCGGCCAGCCAGATCTCGCCTATTCTACCCACCGGGGCGAGCTGGCGATGATGGTTGAGGATGTATACCCGCGTAGACGGATTCGGCTTTCCAATCGTCACGGAGTGGCCTGGCAGGAGGCGAGCAATTGTCGCACCACAGGTTGCCTCGGTTGGCCTGTTGAACAATCCATGTCAACGAGTGGCGCCACACGTTTTGTCAGTGTAGAATGAGCACTGAGTTACACGTACCCATACATATTGTAGACTGTTTTGCTAGATGCCCACGTGTCACACACTCGCTGCGGAACTGCCTCACCCACGAGGTATACCTGCATACAGGTAAGCTTGGGGGGAAAGACCTTGGTCTGCGCTTTAGACTCACCGTGTTGAGCAAGGGGTAGTCCGCTGGTTTGAGATGCATGGCAATTGATGGAGTGAGAATGGCAGAATTGGCTTGTTGAAGATGGCCAAGAGGATCTCTGTCGTCGCGAAGTATTAGAGTGGCGCCATAGCAGAGACTCGAGAATATCTCGTGGATGCTGCCGTCGAACGCCGCAGACATGACTTGTGCAACGCGTTGGCCTGGCTGGGCAAACAGACGCACTTTCAGATCCCGTTGAAAAGCTACTAGGCCCTCGTGCGTACATACGACCCCCTTTGGCTTGCCTGTCGACCCCGAGGTGAAGCAGACGTAGGCATTCTCCCAGGGCCGCGGGTTGGTACGGTGAGGGAACGACCCTTTTTCAGTATGAGATGCCTGATGCTTCGCTTCTAGAACGGCAGCAACATCAATCACGGTTAAGCCCACTGGAAATCTTGTTCTCAGAGCCTCCTTGGAGGTCGCGAGAAAGTATTTGGCTTTGCACGATGCAAATATCGAGTCGCGGACTACCTGGGGATGATGTTTATCTATGGGACAATACGTGCCTCCCGCTCGTAGAACTGCCCAAATTGCTATGATCCAGTTCACAGAGCCATCCGTATGGACGGAAACGACTTCTTCAGGGGCTAGAAGGTCAGCTAACTCGCTGGCAAGGAGGCCTGATAATCTGTTTAGCTCGGAGTAGGTAATATTGCAGTTGGGAGCCTCCAGCGCAGTTCTGTCAGGATAATTGGACGCCGCTGCCTCGAAAAGCGTCACGAGGTCATCGGACGAGTGTGAACGAGTTGTCCAGCTAGATTCGCAGTTTCCAAAATGTCTCAAAATCGAGAGAGTCTCGGTTGTTGTCACGCCTGACATACATGTGTCAAGACACATGTCAATGTGTGTCAGCGACACGATCGCATCTCGGAAGCATTTTGCTACACCTCGCATGTGGCTTTCATGGAACTGAGTGGGCGAGAATTGCAACTTGACCTTTCCTCTAGCATTAACCACAATGCTCAGTGGGATATTTGTCGTTTGAATCGAGAAAGTCGGCCGGAGCGGCTTGGCAGCGACTGGGCCGAATACGTCGTCCTCTGGCTCCAGCTGCATCGCAAAAATCGACTCGAATGACCGCGAAAAGCCATTGTCCGGCGTTGTCCACGCAAACTGGCTGAGATCTTGCAAGCTATTGAACACATTCGCAAGAAGCTGTCGGGCGGACAGTTTTCTGGACAAGGTGACTTGAAACGGCAATGTGTTAAGTAAGGGGCCAATGGCATCAAACACTCCAGGCAGTGGCAAGCTTCGGCCGGAAACCACGGTACCAAAGACAACGTTATCGGAGTCTGTATACGTGGCGAGCGTGATTGCCCATGCGGCATGCAGTACGGCTGCTATCGTTACTTCGCAAGATCGTGCCGCTTGACCGATGACCTCCCAATGTTGTCTAAGGGACAAGACAAATTCTGCTACTTTCTTCCCTCCATATGGACTTGACTGTTGAGAAGGTGGAGGCAGCAAGAACTTGTCGCGTGCTTCGGCGACTCTCTCCTGTTGCCTCTGCCAAAAGGCGTCACCTTCGGCCTTTTGGTTTTTTTGTAGTTGTTCCAAGGACGCGGCCAGATCGAGAAATGAAGTACCAGGGCAGATCGGAAAACCAGATGCCGCTTGATGAACCTTATTCAAGACTTTCGTCGCTGACCAGCCGTCTATCAGGGCATGGTGAATAGACCAAATGATGGTGCTGGTATGGTGTTGGCGGGCTTGGTCGCAGAGACTTATGACTGTGAAGCGGTTGCTGAGATCGATAGCTCCGTCAGACATATCCTGCCACACAGCAAGAGGGTTATCGCCGCGAAGGGCCTCCTCATATATTGATCTTCTGTTGGTTTCAAGCTCTCTCCAGTGGAATTTTGGTATCATATAGCAGCCATCTGCTGGATTACGGTAAGGTGTGCGGAATATTTGTTCACCCTGTACGACTTGTTTCCATGCTGATTTCATGCGCGAGATCTGACTAGCACGATATGTCTCGTAGTAGTGTATGATATTTGTTCCGCGCTTTTGAAGACTGCCGTGAATGAGCGAAAGCTGAATTTCTGTCAACTTTCCCAGACCATCTGGTACATGCTGGGCATCGCATAATTCCTCGGAATCTTCATAAACAAGCCGCAGATTATCTCCAGCAGTCGCCAATGAACCCGAAGGCGTGCTGTCAAATTCAGCTGTTGTTGCTACCATGTGAAACTTGTCAGAGACATCAGAAGACACCGTTAAGTTCGATGTCTCATTGTCAGACAAGTCAAGTACGGAGTCAACAAGACCATCTTGATGGTTTGAGTCAAGCTGTAGAGCTGACAGAGTCTTCGAAGAGGAGGGCTGTGTGGACTCGGACCCTTGTGATGGCTGAGGTGCTAGACACTGACATGAATCCAGCACTTCTTCGATCGTCTCACTTCTCAGTATATCGTCTAAGGCCAAAGACACCTGACGTTCCCTACAACGTGCAGCAAATTGCAGGGCTGTGATAGAGTGACCACCAGAACCGATAAAGCTCTTTGCCTTATCTATCGCAGCCACAGGAAGATCCAACACTATGGCGAGCTCCTGGAGCGCTATCTGTCGTTCCATAATTATGTAGCACAGTGGTTTTCGCCAAAGACCTTTCTTGTCAAGAGTCATGGACCTGACCTCAACTTTATTATTCTATGGTAGGCCTAGTCACTAAGAAAATAAACTTGTGATGACAGCGATGTAGAAGGCTACCTGAGAGGAACGGCAAACCTTCAGCCTGCAACCTCAGTAATTTATCGCAAGTATGCTGCTCTTCACTAATTAGTTAACTACTGAGCAACCCATATGTCAAATGACCACAAGGGTACACTTCATTTTGCTCAGACAAGAAGCTCGCCGAGATTTCTGCAGATGCTCGATTTACCGGAGCTGCGGTGGTTCAGTGCGTAGCATTGAGCTCAGCTAGTATCCGCATCCACTCAACACTTGAGGCCGAATAGCTAAGCGGACCGCCAAACATGTCCGGGCTCGGAAAACAGTCTTCAAAGTAAGAAATTAGTCGAAGAAGCTAGCTAGTTTTTGGCTTTCAAGAAGTTGCTGGACATAGGAATAATGGCTT